GACATTCAAGACAAGAAAAAAAAAGATTTTTAAATGCTGGTCAATCATAGTTTTCTCACAAAGACTTGTGCAGCCACTGGAAGTTTCATGATAGATTGAATCTAGTCTTGTATGAATTTTTACCAAGATTACATTCATCAGTTTACTGCATGTAAAGGAGCATACAACTATGTCATATGGTTTTATAGTGTAAACTTTTAAGAAATGTTTTTTATAGGAACAAGTTTTGCTGAAATCACTGACTTGCACTCACGAGAATTTGTTGTAAAATTAAAGCTGGTTACAGTAGTTGGAAAATTTGTCAGATATTCAGGAAACTCCATAAATACCGTAAATTGCTTTAATTTCAAGAGATAAACTTGTGAAAATCACATTTTTTAAATCAGTGAAGAGTTGTCAGTGAATTCTCTTCAAAAGTGCCATAAATTCTTCAAATGGCAAAAATTAAAGGCTCAGTCATACTTAACGATATTCACATTTTGTGAATGTTGCGTGTATACGGTAAAACATATTTGGCAGGTGACGACTTATCACAGTAGATACATGTAGGTGTAATATTAAATGTATGCTAATGAACTGAATAATTTGTAATTCCACTGAAAATAAATAATTTTGTACACAATTGAGAATTCATTCTCAGATTTATACAATTAAAGATAATTTTAAGATAAGAAAATTGTTTTTTATTTATCATAACACTTTTTCAGTATTGCAAATATATATATACATACACGCCATGAATGAGGTACACGAGAAAAAAAAAAACTAGACACAGAATGAACTTGCATTAAAACTAGTAGAGTTCATGCAATATAATATTGCAAAATATTTACGTTTTGGAGATCAGACTTTCAGCAACAAGCTTAAGTTTAGTCAACTGCAAAAAACCAAGTGATGTTGGTAAAACACTTTATACGGTAATATGAAATGAAGTGAAATTAACATTCACTGATGTGATAATTCGACAGTGAAATACCTTATACTTAATCAATAGCATCATTGAGAAGTACTCGATAACACCAGTTTCAGTTGATGTCTTATTATCGATTGGATATGGCTGAACGTGTGAAAATAGTATTTATTCTATTATAAGTAAGCTCAGTCATTAAAGTGCAACGCGTGTTCGAATTTCATGTAAATAAACAATGTATTTTACACGTGTTGTATACGTCGCTATGAGTCCCATATCGAACCAGACGCGGCGCGACGACTGCCACCCTTTAAAAGATAATATAGTCTGACTAGACTCACTCCTATCACATGTACTACTACATGTATTAAAACAAATATGGTAGTATAAAGTCGGCTATCAAAAGAAAAGGAAACGAGAATCATCCTCTAGTTCCAGACACGCTAGAGTTTGTAAAATTGTGCGTCTACAGAAAGAGATACAATAGACTAGTAGGGCAGGAGAGAAAAAAAACTACCAGATAGCATTTTGGAATAATAGATTTTTATGAGTATATGATATGCACACTACCAGTAACAAGTCAAACTTGTCTACATCAAATCCTGGAAAATATGCAAATGGTACGAAGAAAATAGAGGCATGTGTATAATAGACTCGTTCTAGTGCCATCAGTCAGTTTCTGTGCAAGCATGGGAGTTGATTTCTAGGCAGCACAAAGTATTGGCTGGTTCCCTGCGATCTGATGAGCTATCAAACGTTTACGTAATCAACATTTTTACACCAGAGTGAGCAAGTTTCTAAGGCAACAATGGAACTCCGAACTTGTCTATTACAGAATGACTTATTAATGCATGTATTGATAGTGGGAGAGGAGGGGGTACCAGAGAATGACAGTACATAATATGGCTGTATACCATTAGAGGCTACAAATTATTTTTTGTATCAGAATATATCAACTAGATACTGCAAACATACTCCAGTTTTATGTTTAAAACTTGTTGAATAAATTATATTAATGCAGTCCTAACCACACTAGACTTTGTAATAGATTTCAAAATGTTGAAATTGTGTTGTAACAGAGTAATCACACCCAACAAAATGAAGCTGATGCTAATGATCTTTCTGGATGGGATTTTACACAGCATACAAATTGGAGTGCGACACTAAATTTCAATTACTGGTATGTCAGGAACATTCAAAATTAGTTTCCGAAAAGTTCACCAGCTCCAGTGAAGTTTCCAGATAATACTTCAAAGCACACATACAATTATAACTCGCAATGTTTGGTATTTGGAAGATAATGCATTTTAGTGATTGTATTACAATTTGCTATGAACTATGATGAAAACAGATTACTGACATACCTAAAATGTTGTGACACTCAAAAATTTACAATCAGTTAATTAAAAGTGGAGAAAGAGCATGTTTAAAGATTTACAAGGATATAAAAATATTCATTCACACTGAGAAAAAACGTCAATAGCAGCACTGTACGTAAACTACAAAATTGATCATTGATTAATTCACAAAATAATCAATAAGACAGATTGAAAACCAAATCAATTTTAATATGCTCAATCCTTTCACAACTCTTGTTGGCTTATGTCTGCAACTGATGAGGTTTTGTGTACTCTTCGAGCCTCTAAGCAGGGAGACACACACGCATCTGTTAGAGTTCAGTTAAAAAATTACCATGCAAGAATGCAGAAATGGTAAAAATGGGAATGAAATGGTAAATGGTAAAGTGCATCTAATACTGCTAAAAAAATTAATGGAAACTTCTATATTTATTTAGTGAAATAAATAAAACATAAAAACTTTCAAAAGTGTTATTTGAATTCTACATACTAAGGAGGATATAAATGCAATTTAGAGTTGTATGAAAACTACAGCGGTGACCAGATGAAACTTACAAAAGAATACGCCCTCCGAAATTGCAAAACACATCACGCATCTGATATTCGTTCACTGCGCGATCTCGTGTAATGTGTGAAATGAGAGGCTTGAATGTCATCTACGAAAATTGAACAATTTGATTTTAAACTTAATTTCTTTTATAGCTCGGTGGCAAAATGCTGATAATTCAAAGAGGAATGAGATACTGAATTGTTCGACTTACGAAAATCTAGTTACGAATGTTGAGTTTCGAAAACAGTTACAAAAATGACCACGCCCATATTTTAGAAACCAGGCCTACTTTTTGCGAAACGAACCCCAAATTGCAACTTGTTCGATAAACAACTTTGTTTAACGTACATTTCCCGTAATTCGAAGCTCGGTCAACGGTTAAGTTAGTTACAATTTGGGTGTGGTTTCGCAAAAGTGGGCATGGTTTCTGAAATATGGGCGATGTTTGCGTAACTCAATGTTTGTAACACGAACAATTCAGCATCTCGAGAGAAATATGGTGTTGAGATACTTTTACTTCATCAAAATTGACAATCATCAAATGTGTAGAGCATATTATTAAGTGTGGAAATAGCCAAAATATACTTTTTGCATTTGTTGAATCTTGTGCCACCACAACCTTTGTTTGTCCTGTTTTTATATTTGATTTCACTCAAAATGGGATCTTGCAGTGAAGTGAAAATGGTCTATTTATATTTGAAAGAAGCATCTGTTTTAATACCTTTTCAGGACTTCACACTTTACATGAAATGCACACACAGTTAAATGGCATGTACCGGTATATACATGCCCACAGAAGCAAGATTCATGAACTCATAACAAACTATACTTTGGTACGTCTGATTGAACATCCATAGACACTGGCGAATACAGAGATCCACACGGCAGTAATCAACCTTATTGACTTGCTCTGTAGAATCAATGCAGCATGCAGGATTCATTTGCATATAAGAAGTGTATATTTCTGCTGCTCAAATTGGGGAATTTTTTTTTTTTTTAGAAAATACACATATTAAATGAAACTCACTTGGTCTTGAAAATTTTAGAAAGACTTTACTTGGGACCTATGTGTAATAGGACAATACCTCTATAGTATGGAAGATGGAAACTGACAGATCCAATTGGCCACTTCACACATCTCAACGGATCCCCCCCCAACCCCCTTCTAAAATTACCAAATCGTTTATTACTGCATGTACAGCTGTCCAACACCTACTACTAATGGACCCCAACCCCAACCACCAAATCCAACCCACAACTGGGATCTATAAATCTTTCAGACAAGTTTCTTGGCTTCAAAGAATCCTTTTAGATGTCTCATCTGCCAGAATCCTGTTAATGTTAAGATAAGAGTTTGTGCAATTGACCACCATAATACACGTTGATTGGTACTCTCACTGGTTTGACGGAAGCGCTCTTCACGATACTGAAAAAGAAAAAGAAAATAATTGTGTCAGAAACACAAAAAGCAAACAGTATAGCTTCAATTATTTTGCAATTCACAATGGTAAGAACACACTCCGTATGCTCATCTTGGAGTCAAATTCTAATAAAATCACTTGTAGGAAATGTAAACATTGTAAACCCTGCTGGATATGAAATCAAATGTACATGTAATGGGCGAGTAATGAACCATATGAACATCCAGGTGTTTGGCTGAATCAATCAACCATTCTTACACCACTTTCCAGTACTTCAAAGAGGGGATTAGCTAGTACAGGTTTCAGGAAATAAAAAATGCATTTTATGTTTTTATAGGAAATAAAATGAAAAGTTCCATTTACAGTAAAAAATAGGTTTTTACAATTAACAGATAAAGAAAATTCCTAATTACATTTTTATAATATTTTTGATAATTTGTCTTTGATTGGAATTGGAAATTTCGTACAAATTGCAACATTTAATGTCGACAATGTTTTATACGCTTACAAAAAATAAGATCTTTGTACACATTATGTTTGAATAAACTAGCTGATTACATTTTACACCTTGTCCACGTCTACGAATTTACGTTTTTTTATTTATATAAAATACCCTATTACTAAAATAAAAACAAATGATTACAGCATACAAAAATACCCCTTGCCGACCCTATTCAAAAGAAGACCATGAAAAAGTTTGTACTTGGTACAGTTTTGTGCAGTTTAATACAGAGAAAAAAAATAGACTACAGAATACACTGGAATCAAATAGAGAAAAACTCACATTATATTACAGAACTGCAGCGTTGGTAAATTACCATATTTGCTCTATTAGAAGCACATCTCCAATACAAGTGCATATAATCCAAAAATCACATTTGTTGTATATTGAATCATAAAACTTATTTTGACCATAGAAATATCTAATTTATGTGAGCTCATGCACGACTAAGAGAGCAAATACGATACCAGCATTTCTAGGGATGCTTGCAATGTAACCAACGTATTGTTTACTTACTCTTTGATAATTCTGTTCTTTTGTGATCTGCTCTACTTGATCCAACAACTGTCGTACTCTCAGCTGTAATTCTGTTAATTTATCTTTCTCTGCTATGGTTTGGTAATCGTTAGCGTGTTCACCAACTTGAATATCTAAATGTACTCGCTGAAAGGAAAACAAAATATTTTTAATATATGATGTTCTATCAAAGAGCATTTCAATGGTGTACTGTGGTATAGTGCGATTCATTGCAAGCCAGGGATCAAGATTGGGAGAATAAAGTTTTTTACTGCTCCTTTGACAAGACAGAGTAAGAAGCATAATTAAAACAAAAATATTTATAACAAATTAAGACATTATTTTTCTGTTTTTGTTATGACACGAAAGATTAAAAAAAACAGGTTAAATTTGTTTTCTTCCTATTGAACATTTTGCTTGTGCCAGCCAAGTTGAAAAATATGTATAGTAGTTTTCCCAATTCGGCAAATGTTATGAATAATAAATTCAGTTTTATTTACGTCTTCTTGAAATCTTGGGTGATTTTGGATCATTTTTGGATGATTTTTTGACAACATACATATGGCTAGAGAGCATTTTAGGTTTTGTCAACATGTCCCCAGAAATTAAGAAAATCATAGGCCTTGCATGATATCTTGATCACTGTGCAACCTCAAATTCACTCAATGACATCAACTTTTTCCAAAATAAATAAGCATTGATGTAGATTAGTTTTGATCACACATTATGTATCCGGTCACTCAAATGAGGACCAAATCATCTATTTCTGCAGCAGTGTTTAAATGTGTACGGACTGCTTTGAAGCCAAAAGTCACCACACATGTTACTAGTGAAGGTAACTGCCATACTGTTGTCAGTCAAAAAACTTCATTTCAAATACCTAGGCAGAAATACAGGGTTCCATTAGAGTGGAATTCAAGTTCGAGCAACTGGAAAGAAATTGAACATCTCTTTCCTGACTAAGTAAAGAAATTGCACTGTTAACTTATGTGACTTGTTATCTTCCACTCATCCCACACTACAACTTACCAGTTTCCCACCTGCAAACATTGACCATTTTGTAGAATTTGAATAAAGGCAGATGACGTGTTCACCAGGTGTATGCGACGTGAAAGTAAATCTACCTTCTGAACTATAAACTTTCGATAATAAAAGTTTGCCATCAGGGTCCTTGACCTCAACGTGCATTCCAACACCGGGACTTGATGGCAAATAATCGTTAACATTTTTGTCAAATAACTGTGTCTTGTAGTTACCTGAAAAATGTAAAAAAAAAAAAAAGGTAAATTATAATTATTAACCCACATAAATTCTTGTTCACTGAAATTCACCATACAATAGAGGTCTTTAATCTACGTTGTCTATATAGTGGCAATTGTGGAGGCCACGCTCACAATTCTCCATAGGTACCGGTATTATATGTGTGGAACATCTTGCACTGGAGGCCTTGTGATGCAACATGAAAGAAACGTATAGTGGGCTCTATTCAATATGATGCAGTGCTGGTGACCAGTACTATCTAATCAATGATAGAGAACTTCCAACAGCGGGGTAAGAATGCAAGAACAGATGTTTCTCCAGAAATAAAACATCATTAGGATAGGCAATCATTATAGTTCAGGTTCGAAAACAAGGAACAGGAACCCAAAACAAGAGACCATTTTCCGTTCACTGCGAGAATCTGCGCTATGCGTGAAATTGAATGTAAAACTGGACAAACAAAGGTCGTAGCGTCATAGTGGCGACAAACATCCCGTGGGATTCAACAAACGCGAATATATTTTGGGGGATATTTCCATGTTTAAGAATGTGCTGTAAACATTTGATGATGGTCAATTTTGATGAAGCAAGGGTATTCAAACACAATATTCCCCTGTAAAAGATCGGCCTTTCGATGTGAGCTTCAAAATAAAGAAATGCAAGTTCAAAATGTGAGGCAGATGTTCAGCATGCGTCTTCCTCACAATTGGACGGAAAATTACCTATTGAACCTGGGTATGGGGGAATGGAGGAAGGGTACACATTATTTAGATAAGTAATTTAAAATGAACAGTGATACATATGTAGAAACAAAACTGTTTGAAACTTTATAGTTAGGAATCACATAATTCTTCCTGCCTTATTACCTGTGTACATGTACATGACATTTTACACAGCGAAAATTACAATATGTGCAATTTTGGAATATGGGGTTTGAGCCATATTTATTTAATTATGTCATTAACAATTCTGTGCTAATTATTTTGAAATTAAACAATGGAGAAATTAATAGATCATACAGATATTCATTAGAACTATGTAACAGCAGTGTCAAGGTAGAAAAAAAGTAATTCAATGAATATTATACATGCATACAGTATTATGGAAGCAAGCATGCTTTTTATATAAAAAAAAACAACCTAGAAATTATAGTGGATTTTACGTCACATGGATGTTCACTATGAGAAGTAAACAATAGATAAATTGTGTAAATTCACTGTTTTCTGTTTTTTAATTTAGCACATTCAGCTGTTAGTGAAATAATCAAATATTATTTATGGAAATTGTACTTAAAAACCAGTTTGATTTTCATGTACAAAGCATATAATTGCATTCTAAATAGCTAATTTTGGAACCTTGTATTTTTGCTAATCTAACAAATTATGCTAAGACAGAATAATGTTAGCTTTCAGGTACTAATGTTATATGTAATGTATCAGCCATCCTTTCATACTAAAACTTAGTATTGTCATATTTAGCAAACGCTCAATAACTTGGGTAAGAATATCAAGAAAATCTTCACGAAAAATAAGCAAACTTGTATTCGACTGGTGGATTGATTTCAGTAGAGAAAAATGTGTATACAATGACACTAAACTCTGCAGTGCCCACTACCCCTTGTGCTTAAATTGGAGAGTAAAATCCATCCAGTCTCCCATATATTGACTGGAGCATAAGCAGGTCAGGTCAGGCTGATCAATCCAGGTTTGTGGTGAACACTTTTCCAAAATTCCCAAATGACCATTATACACGTAGTGCAATCAATATGGATTTACTACACAGCTAATGGCTTGAACTGATGAGTTGGGAAGGCACCAATTTTCAAAGCAGAATTTGATGAAATTGCCTTGACGTACAGTATAGCAGAGGCAAAACTGTTTTTGTTTTTTTTCAAAATCAAAGAGCACCGAAGCGAACATCTTGAGCAATTGCCTACATGTACGACACCTCCATGAAATTCAAACCCAACACATAAACTCAATATCAAGTAACAGTATCATATATACTTATTCAACCAAGTTGTGGGTATATTCAGAATAAAGCAAAAGCCATATTGTAAAATAAAAGAATGTCTTATCAGTGGAGCTGGCACTGCTAGCATATGGTAATTTCCCAAATTTTAATTACATATTTCAATCTCAAAAAATGAGACAAGAAAATAACTGGATGGTGCAAAATTTGGAAATTATTAAATACCAAATATCTAATTCTGGATACTGTAATAATAATATAGATGTTTATCATGATAATAATCAACTATTTGGAATTCATCCTACTAGTAATACAATATTCCAAATGTAACAATGAAATTGATTTCTGCACGCATGCATGATCCAAGGAATAATATCCCAGCATCAAAATAACACATCTTGAAGAATAATGTTCGATGTGCCGTGGTATCAGAAAACAACGACTAGACGAAACAGACCGTGGTATCAGAAAACAACGACTAGACGAAACAGATGGGAGACTCAACATCCCTGATGTATACCCGTTAAATCGTAGGCCGAATATCAATGGCAACTACACGGTGTTTATATTTTATGCGACTGGATACTTTTAGAAATTAGTCTTTAAAAATACGAATAAGATGGTAACGCTTTTACAACACATGCCCCAACTCCCGACCCAAACTACCGCATATTCGATTCAAAGGCAGAGCACCGTCGGAACGATCGCTTCCTGATCATACAAATATTGGAATGGTTGAATGTAACTTACCGATAACCATAGTTTCGTCAGGTATTTCTTCTATAAAACATTTTCTTTCTGTTTCACCTATGTGGAAATATAGGGCTTGGCTAAACGAAAGAAAACAGAGCAAGCAAAGATAGTGAATTAGGCGATTCATATTGGACTACTATTTGACACACTGATGCCTTCTAGAAAATGGCCGCGACCGCAAACAACGCATGCGCACTTCAATGCCACGTCGCTTTACCCACAATCCTCTTCGCTATATTGAATAAAAACAAAAGTACAGCGCCATGTGATCATTAGGCTGCTATTTTGACGGCATCAAAATAGTATAAGACAAATGATAATTTTATTTACACATCATCGTTTTTTTTCAAGCCTTTGAAGGATTATCTATTATTATGTTAATTGTTTCACGCAAATTTTATGATAAAAACAAAACAAAAACATGAACAGGGTGATAGGTGAAAATCTATGGTGATAACATTGTGATACAGTGGTATTTCCGGAAACATGAAAACCTTGGAAACATCAAAACCCTCGAACGTTAGGAAATTGAGAGCAAAACTAAATGTTGTGAAGATGATGATTTTATGATATACAGGCTTTATGATCTATGAATGGAGACACAAAATTCAGTACAGCAAAAAAGCGAAATAGCAAGATTGCTGTCGGATTGAGTAAAACACCTCGCAAACTTCAATACTAGAATTGGCATTCAAGACATTGATAATCATGATATTCAATGTTGCGATATTCAGAAAATATTTACTGTAATACCTAGATTTGCTTGCAGTCTGCTGCGATTCATATGAAAAATTCTTGAAAAATAAATATAAATTGCGTAAACGAGGGGTTAACGCGAAAGTCATGTGACCGCGAAATCCCAACAGACTTTCCATCAGTGTAAGCGCCCTCACATTACCGGCCAGACTCGGGCTTGTAATGATTGACAAGTCTAATATGTTTCAACCAATCAGAAGACATGCTAATTAACATATCAACTGAGACCCCGGAAACCATTAACACTTTCTTGCATAAAGTTTTCGGGATCTAAGTTTATCCTCAGACCACTTTCTCATATCCGAATCGCATATGCCATTTTATTTAGCGATGTCAGGTTTATTGTTATGATCCATGGCTTGTCTGCTCCACCCACCTTATAACGTATATGCAAATTTTTAATCGGAATAGTCTATGTAATACCCACACAACACATCTTTGTATTGGTAGTAATAAAAGGTACCCCAGACCATTCGTCCCGGTGTTATCGCTATCGCCACACGAGACTCCAGCTTGTCTCCTATACAATTTTCCTTCCGCCCACTTAATTTTAATATTCATATGACCTTT